GCTCTCGTGCTGCGGCTGCGCAGCTGCGCGCAGTAGGACACTGAAACTGAGACAAGCTCTACCTATCTGTCATATAACTTGTCCATATTGAAATACATAAGAATTACGTAAGATTGACCGGTTTAAGGACATATTTCTATCTATCAAGCATTATGGATGAAAAATTCGCTACTGCACATCTTGCATCGTTGCAAAACGTTGTCGTACCGCTTTCCGATGTTGTCGGAACCGCAGCTATTGGGAACTACAGCGAAGTAAGATGGCACGGAAATCTCTGTAAGGCAAAAGTTCGTTTAGTTTATTTTTTTAACATTCAGTCAAACCGTCTAGTTATTCTATAGATCCTTCATGTGGGGACGAAAAGTGATTGCGAGGAGAAAGCTCTGCAATCATCTGCGGAGGAGGATTCAATAGAATTCAAGCCTGAACCAGGAATGGGTATCGACAGGTACGATTTTTCCTTGACGATGATTAGCCTTTTGTAATTCTCCAATGGCTTCTTCATTTCTGCTTATATATAGTTTCCAGTTCTTTCGTCTTTCATATTTTTTTACAAAGTTTTTGCAATTCTTCCTTTTTCGGTTTTTGTTTCACACCTCATGCTTGGGCAAGCAACTTGTTTTGAATTGATCACTTTGTTTCGAATACAGTCGGCTTTATTTCGGCTGTAACCTTGTTTGATAGTATCACTTTGCAATAGGTAAGGAGGTCGGTATTATGAACACCACTGAAGGAAAGTCTAGAACGACGAAAAGGAACATGGAAAAGATTTTACGAATGTATGAAGTAAAAATGGAGCTTATGTGGCACACTGCTTACAATTACACACTTCTTCACAAAAATTCTGCCTTAGAGTTTACTTGGTGTACGGTAGGGAATAAAATTGCACACTTGGCCGAAACTTCCAGAGTGCTGTGATTTTGACCCGCTGCAGTTCCCTAAAGTAGAAACATTTCCGTTTAGAACCGTGACATTCTTCCGCGCAAAAGTGTAATATCAAGACATGGAGATTCCTCCCCCCCCCCCCCCCCCCCCCCCCCCCCCCCCCCC